CAAATGTTAAAAAATATCTGAATGATAACATTATTTACAATGAAGTAAAAGATAAAGGATTACACAAAGTGCAACGAGGTAACAAGTGAACAAATGGGTTGGGGTTTTTTTTATTATTTAAAAGGAAGCCATTCCACAGTTCTGGTCTTTTGGAGCCTGTGCACTGAAATACCTGTCGCCACATGATACAACGTTTACTTTACAGGGTTTTATAAAAGGATGATCAGATGATGACTTGGGACCTCTTCTTCGTGAATATGTCTAGCGAATGAATTTGGTACTTTCTGCAGTTTATATATTAAAGGAGCCAAATCGCTAATATTTGTGACCTAGAAATTACACATTAACACGCATGTAATAATCTAATATGAATATATATAAACTGATTTACATTCAATCGTTCCCGTTTTTACTCTAATTTCAAATCACTTATGTTCGGCGAAATACGCCAGAAGTCTCAATCGAATGCCAATCTCTAGCGTCTGGTTATTCCAGTCTACACCGATAGTATTTATTGCGCATGTTCTCCAGATAAGAATATGAGGTCACCGTTTGACATGACTTGGAGGATATGTATAGCCTCGTTCTTTGAGTACCGTGTTACAAATGGCACTCAAATGCGTTATGGTGCACGATTCGTGTACCAATGGTAAAATGTTTATTTTGTCTTAAATATGGGATATCAGAAGCCCATCTTTTTCCGGTAAGATCACAACATCATTGTTGACTTAAATTGACAAATATTTCGTGTTTTCAATGTCGAAGACTTTGAATGCTATTCAGTTAGAGACTGAGCTACTTTAAGCACTGTAGCAGGTATTGGTTGTTTCGAACATATTATAATGAATTCTGTTTGTCATCATTCAACGGACATCCATTCCTGTATTCCATTTATACGCATTCATTTTGAGCTGTGATTTAGTAATAGACATCAAACAGTTCTACTTGGTGAGGCTAAATCTTTACCGTTTAAACTTGACTGTGACATACCGCAAGGCAATGTATTAGGACCCACGTTTTTTGTTCTTTATACAACCGCTTTGGGGTCTGTGATCGATGGCTATGATCAGAGGCACTACTCTTACGCCGATGATACTCAACTCATTGGTGTTTCTAGTCCTATGCTAATCAGAAATGCCTTACAAAAAAACTACTAACTGTTCGCTGGCAGTTAAACAGTGGATGAAAGAAAACAAACTAAAATCGAACGACGATAAAACAGAAGCTCTTTTATTAGGTTCATCACAACTCAAGTTACTACCTGATCTTAAAATCACCATTGGTAATTCAGAAATAAATTTCTCCAAAAATGTTCGAAATCCTTGGAGTGATATTTGATCCTTCTCTGACAATGGAAACTCGGGTTGATACGGTATGCCGTACATGCTACTATCATCTACGCTGTATATGCAACATCAGAGACTATCTCACTGCTGACGCTTGTAAACTACTTGTGAGATCACTGATTTTATCAAGGATTGATTATTGTAATAGTTTACTCTATGGAATCCCACAAGCACTTCTAGTCAAGATCCAGAAAGTTCTTAATACTGCAGCCCGAATAGTAACAAGGACACGTAAGTTTGGTCACATCCAGAATGTGCTAGCTTCAAATACAAAATACTAACATTAGTGTATAAATGTCGCAATAATGCTGCTCCTCAATACTTATCTGAACTCTTATATGACTACAACCCTATTAGATCACTTCGCTCTCAAAATAAACAGTCACTAGTAGTTCCAAGATATAATTTAAAGTCATATGGGTATAGGTCTTTCAGTTCAGCTGGTCCTAGATTATGGAACGAACTTCCACAACAGATCAAGAATCAACAAACTTTTAATCAATTTAAATCCGCGCTGAAGACTTTCCTGTTTCGACAGTTTTACCAGTAGAGCCATTACTAAAAGCGTTTTGAGCATGTGTCAACGTGGAGAAGACGCTTTATAAAACCTCATTATTATTATTAGGTACAGTTTTGTGTCATCGGCAAATGCCATCAGTATAAATAAAGACACAACCCTGTGGGACACCGAATAAAACTTTCTTTAGTTCGATCGGACTACACATTGTTAATAAGAACTGATCGTATGTGCCCTAATCCACGAAATCTTATTACCACGAACAAGGAGTAGGGTCGCCTGTCCAACCTCGTGGGTTTTCACCCGGTCCTCTGGTTTCCACCTACTGCTAAAGATTCCTACGCGCAAGCGAATTATTGAAATAAAATCGAGTCATATGTTAGGCCAGAAATGACCTAGTTTGTGTCGAGAGGACGTTAAAATCTCTCTCTCTCTCTCTCTCTCTCTCTCTCTCTCTCTCTCCCCCGAGTAGAGTATTATATATATCCAAAAATATTAGCACTTTGATTAAAGGTAAACGATGAAAAGGTATGCCGACACAAACTGATTTCAACTCTGGTTTGACAACATTTTAAATTACTTTTCGTCCGTCTTAGAGCTATTCAAAAATAATGTCATTGCATAGAGATGGACACTATAGTATATTTACACAAATTTACATAGTAATGGGCTATAGTTACCATTGTCTATGGTTACATAGTATATCGGTAACTAACAGAAAACATGTACACACGTATGTTAATATGTTGTATATGGGTACAATTTAGGAACAATGAGTGGAGGATAATCCTGGGATAGATTTAAGAAAATTAATGAAGTTAATTAAATGGTTTTCCATTAATTTCCTTTTATAAAAAGGGAAAATTTGAAAATTTACTTTTAAGTGTTGTGCACATCTAAAGATATGTCTATCTACAAATAAGGGCCCATTTTCAATGTTACACCCCCGTCGATAGTTGCGTACTCCCCTGATGTAAATATTTTGACCACCATTGCAAATCAAGCCATATATGAGAATTGAGATTTTTCGTTTCGCAATTCATACTGCCGTTGACACTAAAAGTAAAGTTATGAAAATTATATGTTATTTGGCGTAAAATGGCCACAACATTTACATTGAATATCCGGGTATTTAGATACATAAAAACTGAACATTATCACATTTCGTTCTGAGACTGTCGTTTCATGCCAGGAGTGTCCAGTGCAGGAGTGTCCTGCTCTCGTGCGTTGTTTTAAAGAAGTTGGGATGTTGGGGGGGTTATGAGTAGCGACAAAGGTAATGATATACGAACTGCCTTTTGCTTTAGTAGCTCTTAATGTTTGAATTTTAATCGCCACAGCCTTATTTATCACAACTTCTATTACCTTGAGGGGGTAATGCTGTTTCAATAAATTTCTATTTAGCTTACCTAATCTGACAATCCGGAGGTCTTCATCTATTACAATAGTGCATATTTTGCAAGCTAAAGAAAAGGGTATATTATTTTTGGTGTGGCGTGGGTGACATAATATTTTGGTATCTGTTTCTTTAGAATACATATCCGTTATAAGGAGTTCTACCCATGGGTTCATTAGAATGTCCAAGATCACCAGATTTACATATCGTTCGTTTCAATTGTGAATTTGATATTTAGAACTAAACCGTTCATTATTTGTTGCAAATCTGCAACGATGCCAATTCGTTCATTCCAAATACAGAATACCTTGTCTAGGAATCGTTTCAACTAATTTTCTAAATATAATCTGTATTCCACACTATATTCCATTTCTATAATTGAGTATAACTTTGCCTCGAGAAATTCCATTTTTAAATTACTTAATTGTAGTGCCGCCTTGGTATAGTATCCATCGCTATACCAAGAATCGGTTTGTAATTTGTTTCGCCAAATGTAAAATGTTGTTAGTCAGGATGATTCGTATAGTTTTGACGGTGAAGTTGTTTAAAATTCTCAGGATGTTTATCCAGCCAGTATTCTATGGCCTGAAAGCATAGGTCATGGAAAATGTTTCCATACATATTACAAACATCCATGGTTACGAAAACGTCGCCATCGTTTAGATTTTGGGGCAATCTATTAACAAAATATATGTCATCATGAATAACAGATTTTATATTTACAATAAGATTTTTAGTCTATCAATAAGGCAGTATATACCGGCAATTATTGGTCTGAATGGGAGGTCGTCTGACTTAAAGCACTAATAGTACTGATGAATTAAGCATTTTGGTGTTTAATAGACTCCCCGATCATCTTGGATATATGGATTTTTGGAAAACCACCAAACTGACTTATTTCCTACTCGAATTTTCGGAGATAATCCTGTTCGTTGTCCGTCAGTTCATTTTTGTGACCTTGGATTAAGCCGTTTATTAATCCCATTGTTCTTTGATCATGGTTCGAATCTATGGCTGTATATACCCGTTTGTCTTCAAGTATTTTACGGACGTTTCTCTCATAACAATCTGCATCCATGATATCAATGGTACCCCCTTTATCGCTTTCTTTAATAACGATCGTGTCGTTTAATTTTAAAGAATTTATAGCGCACCGTTCCTCCTGCAGCGCATTGGCGCAGTGTCTTCCCTATCACCGAAATATTGCTTTAGTAGTAGCTGCCTACAGAAGGCATTGATGTCACACTCAAATTCCTATATATTAGCTTTAGGCGTAGGTGTGAATTTTAGAGGCCTCTCTGTAGGAGGTTTATCTCGTAATGATTTAGAACTACGGATGATATATTTATTTTGGGTGTACAGGTTCTAAGAATTGGATACTGTGTGGACGTTCCTTGAGTGACGCTAAACTTTCTTCTTGTATTGGGGAGGTGGTCGCTGTGGTTGGATTTGAGATGGTGCTCTCTCTCTCTCTCTCTCTCTCTCTCTCTCTCTTGTATTAGCCCTGAAGACGCAGTAAGGCCGAAAGATCTTGGCACTAATGTAAAAGTTATTTAAATATAGATTATTCCATCCGAATATTAGTATTTTTTGGTGTATCGTAAAAGGATATAGTTAAAATTAGAACAACTGAGTACAAGTGCGAATATAAAAACTACAAATAATAAAATAATGTCGGGACAAGTGAATCTAAGGACAAATATAACAAAGTTAATTAGGATCAATGTACAAGATTACTCACAGTATTCAGTCCACTTTTATCAGTATTCGGTTGAAGTCTTCTTTGCTCTTGGTGCTTCTACTGCTTTGAAGTAGTAGTTTGTAGACAGTCCTTTATAGATGTCTTTTCGGCGTTACCGTAGTAATTCCAAAGTTAGCAGAATAATCCTTGAATCGGTATAATCTGACATAGTAATAATCCACAATAGTAAACCTAAACTTGGATTACAATAGAGAGATAAAGTCTCTCAAAACAACACAATGTAAAAGAGCACACACAATATGTGCAACAGCACGAAATAGCAATAAGTCGAGAACACAGGCCACGTGGGTCAAATAGAAATTTACGACAAACGTTGAGTTCTGTAGGAAGTGCTAAGAAAATTCTGCCCTTGGACTGGTCTGATTCGGCTTATCTAGAGTTTTAGGAAATTTTAGAACTTTCTGGAACATTCTCAAATTTTTCACGACTTTCCAGAACCTTCCAACTTTTTGTAGCACCCTCCAGAACCTTACAATTATTTCTACAACCTTGATATATCAGATGTTTACACTATTTGTGAACGAAGGGCGGCCATTTTGTCAGGCAGTTTCGGTCCGATTTTCACGAAATTCGATCTCAACCTTTATTGGGGTGTAACGGTGATAGATTTAAACGTCCACAAGCTATAAACGTGATTTATTGTACAGTCAAGGGTCATAATCCAGGAAGTTACGGCCCGATATGCGCAAATATCAAAAGGAATCAAGATCTTTGGCTTATAATCATACATTTCAAGTTTCATCAAAATTGGATACAAATTGTGACTTATAGAGTGTCCACAACCTTGGTATTATATACTTTTACACTGTTTGCGTACACAAGGAGCAGCCATTTTGTCCGGCAGTTCGGGTCAGATTTTTACGAAATTCGAACTCAACTCTCATCAATTGATGTGTAACGGTGATATATTTAAACGGGTTTTTTTTTTTTTTGTTTTTTTTTTTTTGTTTAAATTGAATTCAAATTGTGATTTCTGGTGTGTCAAGTTAAGTTTGGATATGAGCGATTATAGAACGGATCCAAGATCTTTGTGTTATAAACATAAATTTAAAGTTTCATCAAAATCGGATAAAAATTGTGGCCTCTAGAGGGGCCACAACCTTGATATACCATATATTTGCACTAATTGCGTACGGTGGGCGGTCATTTTGAACGTTAGTTTTGGTCCTAATTTTCTCTAAATTCGAAATCAACCATCATCATGGTGTAACGGTTATATAATTGAACGGGTTTTTTTAAAATCGGATAAAAATTGTTGCCTCTAGAGGGTCCTAGAAACGCAGTTTTGGTCAGTTTTTCACGAAATTCGAACTCAACCATCAATGAAGTTCAACCATGATATAATCGAAACGCGATTTTTTCTAAAAAATCAAGTGCCATCATTCAGGAAGCTGTATACGATCCGATATGCGCGAATATAAAAAGAAACCAAGATCTTTGAGTTATAAACACGAATATCAAGTCTCATCAAAATTGGATCAAAATTGTGATCTCTATAGGGTCCACACAACCTTGATATAACGTATTTTTACACTATTTGCGTCATTTAGTTCGGCAGTTTTTGTCCGAATTTTCACGAAATTTGAACTCAACCATCATCATGGTGTAACGGTTATATACTGAGCGCCATGGAAAACGCATCACTTTTTTTCCCAAATATTTTATTACTAGGTGGTTTTGTATGTATAATATTATGCAATACTATGAACTATTGTTTCACACAATGCTCCCAAACGCAAAAAATATCGGCCCGTGTGCAAAAAAAAAATTGCACGAGATGCACATGAAATACCCAATATTCACGTGCAGCATTGTGTGCGAGCCCTTTAAAAGCATGTTTCCAACTTAATGTGCAGTACATGAACTGTGAAACGTTAATCTGTCGTAATTTGTTGCTGGACGTGTGAAGGAATCGAGCTAGAGATGCCGAGACTTACTGAAAATCAACGGAATGAAGCCATGGGAATGTCCAGGGCTGGTATGTCTACACGTGCTATTGCCAGACACTTCAATTGTCATCAGTCCACTATTGTAAGGTTGGTGGAACGTGTTCGAGTTACTGGATCAACACGTGACCGTCAACGCCCTGGTCCACAACGTGTTACAACCCAGGCTCAAGACTGCTACATCCGGGTCACTCATCTGCGTGACATAGTCCGCCCAGCGACTCGAACAGGTGCAGCAGTCGTCGGAAGACAAGGACCAGTAAGTGCCAACACCGTAAGACGTCGTCTAAGAGAAGTAGGACTCCGTGCACGACGACCTTATGTTGGAGCTATCCTCAGGGATCATCACCGTCAGCGGCGTTTGATATGCGCTCAAGGACACCAGACATGGAGAAGAGTAGACTGGCAAAGTGTGCTCTTCAGTGATGAGAGTCGCTTTCATCTTTATCACGCTGATAGCCGTCAACGTCTTGGGGAACGTCTTGCAGACTGCTGCGTCTTCGAGACGAATCGATGGGGTGGGGGAAGTGTAATGGTGTGTGGAGGCTTCACATTTAATCACCGGACCGCCCTACACATTTGCAGGGGTCGCGTTAATGCTGTAGCCTACCGTGATGATGTCTTGCAACCAATTGTTGTTCCGATGTTTCGAGCGCACCCACAACTTCAGCACTTCCAACAGGATAATGCACGTCCGCATACCGCCCGTTTTAGTATGGACTACTTGGCTGCTAACAACATCAATGTCTTGGACGGGCATGGCAATGATAGAACTTGTCTTGGATGAGATTGGACGCCGTCTGTTTCGGAGACCATAGATGCACACCATTGCTGGTTTAGAAGCTGCTCTTGTCCAAGAATGGAACAATTTACCCCAGGCCTTCTTTCAAACATTGGTAAATTCCATGCGACGTCGCTGCACAGCGCGCGTAAGAGCCCGTGGAGGACAAACGCGCTACTTTCATCTGTGTCGAACTTTTGGTTTTGACCCCTTTGACTTTGTACCGTTGATTACATATTAAACATCCATAAGTGTACAAATGTGTTGTTATTGATGTGTTCCCATTTGAATATTGTTCACAATAAGAAGCAAAATAAATAAAATATGTTTACAGGATCATTTTGTTATACGAAAAACTAAGTGATGCGTTTCCATGGCGCTCAGTATTGAAAGGACAATAAAGTCTGTCATTGAGTCGACTGGCGTGGTTTCGAATCCCCGGTTGTACGTGACAAGGAGTAGGGTCGCCTGTCCAACCTCGTGGGTTTCCGGGTCCTCCGGTTTCCTCCCACTGCTAAAGACCCCTACGCGCAAGCTAATTATTGAAATAAAATTAAACCATATGCTAGTCCCGAAATGACCTAGTTTGTGTCGAGTGGGCGTTAAACCCCATTTCTCTCTCTCTCACACACACAATCATGGGTCATAGTCCATGAAGTTACGGTCTGATACATGCCAATATCAAATGGAACCGAGGTCTTTGGAATATATACCTATAGTTTTATTAATAAAAACCTTTTCCGTCTGGTGATATTATGAAGGTGCATTATATTATGCGATACACTGTTTGCAGTGCAGTTTTTTAAATATATTATGAGACATCTAAACGTAGATTTCAAATTGAGACAATTTCCATTGTGTTTAGTTTCCCTCAAATAGTTCTTATCATTCTGGAAAGCAAAATTCTGTTTCTAAATGTCCACATTGTAAATTGAAGTATATTGTTTTCACCCCGATCGGTCGACAATTCTTGTAAACATCACACAAAATAACTTGCTTGAATTAGTTGTTCGGCTAGTTGAAAGAAGAAACCCCATCGAAATTCAAAGTTGTGCCTGCTGCTGGTGAGCGTATATTTATTGCTCGACAACGCTCTGTTCTTGGTTATTTAATAGGCGTTAGCGCTTTGGAATTTTTCGTCGGTGCACGAAGTACGCGAGTTTTTGGTGAGCTATTTTAATATAAAATCGGTTAGATTTATTTTCTTGTTGAAATGCGTCTTTAATACTCATGAGTGAAAATAAAAATCTCTTTAAAGACAGAAGTGCCGTATTTGTTCGTAAAATAAAATCAGTCTTAATAATAGTTCTTTTATAATAGCAGACACGTGTAGAATACGTAGGTTAGGCCCTACATCGATTAGTATCGAGGCCAAATATTGTTTTAAAGACAATAAAAGAATAATTACACATCGTAGAGTTATTTAAATACGTCTTGAGTATATATTTTATAGAAAACCTGTTCACATAATTCAGATCTTCTTTAAGGATCCACTTTATCCTCCCCACGCCCTCGCTTTCACGTAAGAACTCCTCCTCAACAAGTGATTGCATATTCCTTAATAATTTTGTACTGTTAAGTGTTATGTTATTTTTGGACAAGTGGAGAGCAATGTTTGGTACACACTGTACTATCTTATTGTGTCTAAAAACAAATAATACAAAGATAGTCCAGACCGTAGTTTATTAACAAAAAAATATAAATGCATACCTAAATATAATACAAAAAATGAAATGTGATAGTAATGACATTTTTGAAAATAGCCACACCGCTATTTACAATGACAAATGATGAATTAAAAGCTAAAGTTATAACGACAAAATACTGCTCAAGATGAAATACATATTGTCATAAATTTCAATTAGAAAGAATAACAGCAGGAAAAACCAAGAGATAAAATGATCGCTGATAATAAAAAAAAAGCTCTGGAAGCTGGACTCGAATCCTATGCAATAATCGCCTCCTGAGAAAACAGAACATCTTTGTGGGCCCTTTTACAATAATAATTTGTATAAACATTACATCTGATAATTCACTATCGTTCAACTATGGCTGATAGTGGCAATGTGGGCTATCGCCCTTTTCATAACGTGACAACATACGACTTAACCGCCGCCAATCTGTTCCACAGCGCTAATGTATAGATCTACCTGTGACGTAACATCATACGGCCTCTTAAAGCGTGCATTGTTTATATCGGAGGTACATGTAGTAACACAAACTGGTCTTGGCAGAATTAAATTAATTTGACGCCTTCGCGTACTATTTTATGTACCTTTTAACACCAAAAAGAATATATATTTTTTTTTATCCATATATATATTTCTAACGCCTTTTTTGTTTCTTAATTGTGTAAGAAAATTGTTTTACCATTTTTATTTGCAGAAGAAAAAAACTAATATATTGAGCGAATTAACTCGACCCTTTGTCATCCCTCAGTGCTGAAAGTAACATATGATATTATCTATGGTGTTTGTTAGCAGCCATTCAAATGCCAATTAAATTGAAAAGGGCGACAAGACGCGACAAGTCGACAGCACGACATAATAACGGGTCGGCAATTGCCACAGTCTGC